TGACAAATGTAATTCAGATAATAACAGTACTGATTGGGATTTGCCCACAAATAAGGTTCTAGAGAAAGGGCCTCCTATTTCTAAAAATCTAGCTAATCTAGTAAATTCTGTTTGCACTACACTTGCTGCAGCCAAAAAGGTGAATGAACCGTTTTAAAAGGCCATAAAGGTCAAGGCAGCTGATGTTTCCTCAACTTCAAATTATTCAAAGGATGGTGAGGAAAAGAAGTTCTTGTCTGCAGCTGTAACAGATGGTGTTACAGTCATGAAACTGGTGTGCTATTATCTATCTCAGTTTGCAAGAATACGATCGGGATCAACCATATTGTTGAGAGAGAACAGGTACTAATACCAACTAAGTCTTCAAGACTTTCTTTATCTGGAGACATTGAAGTATCTGAAGAGAAAATCCTTGAAGGAAAGATATAGCTAAATCCCCCTGTGGCTGACTTCATAACAATTGAATAAGGGCTAACATCACCAGCAAACAAGTGCCTTTCCAGAAAGGGAAAACTTGTGCAGGTAATCATCAAATATAAACATCATTAAATGCAATCAGATTTTAAAAATGTGACCTTATTCAGTTTTGAATAAAGGAGATTTAATAAATGTTGGGGTTTCAATTAAAATATGAAAAATAAAATAAAACAAGAGGGCCATGATGGCCCCGATTCGCTCACCAGAAACATCTGCTTTTCAGTGTTGGAAATTATCCATTGTCAATATTTTCTGATATTAAATTTCAGCCAATCAAATTAATATGAGCAAACTTGATAAAAGCGCACCTAAGAATGCCACAAAGTTTGGTGATCACCCAACAATTAGTTCTGTAGAAATAGACATTTAAAGGTATTTCTATTTTTAGCTTTAGCTGCCCCTGAAAGGGGCCAATCACAATAATATGAGCAAACTTGATATCAGACTACCCAAGAATGCTACAGACAAAGTTTGGTGATCATCCATCAATTAGTTCTGTAGAAGAAGATGTTTCAAGGGTTACCTATTTTAAGCCCTAGAGATCTCTAAAAGGGGCCAATCAAATTAACATGATCAAACTTGATAAGAGACAACCCAAGAATGCAACAGGCAAAGTTTGGTGATCATCAATCAATTAGTTCTGTAGTAGAACATGTTTAAAGGTTTTTCTATTTTTAGCTCTGTTGACCCCTAAAAGGGGCCAATTAAAATGACATGAGCAAATTCAAGGGTGACTGCCACAAGGATGCTACAGATCAAATTTGAAGTAAATCTGCACAGTAGTTTCAGAGAAGAAGACGATTGTTGACGCATGACGATGGAAGACGGAGTATCCCCCTTTGATACTAATAGCGCACCCTGAGCCTTCGGCTCTGGTGAGCTAAAAAGTTGGCAGAAAACTTTTCTTAGTATTCATTATTTAAAACTTTTAAAATGTTAATTTTCCAAACATGTACGTACTTTACACATCTTTGTCCTTCTTTCCAGGAGGACCAGGAGAGAGAATTGATGGTAAGAAACACCCCAACATGAGTAAAGGACATATGGGTGAAAGATGAGACGGGAAAGGCTAAAGTTACTCTGTGGAGGGAAAAATGTGACATGAACGTTCGTCCAGGTGACTTTGTGTCAATCACAGACATAGTTACTAACACCTACAGGAGTGAAACATCATAACTGACATTCCAGTGACATTAAGCCAGGTTATATTGTAGGTGTAAGTTTCGTTGAAGGATCTGTCGACTTTCTCACAGAGGAAGGACATATCATAAATGCTAGTGAAACTGTAGTAGCTGCGGCTTTTCCAGACACAACTAACCTGGAACAGACCATCCTTCACAGTTTGCCAGTTTCTTTGAAGGTTTCAAAATAAAAGGATCAGACTTTGTTAGTATTGAATTTCACTGCAAATTAAATGGATTTGATAATGTTTAAATTTGTTTGACAGAGATGTAAGTTAGATCTATCATTAAATAGTAAACCAGGAAATATGAGAACTTTGGATAAGAAAGCCTCCTTTCAAGGTAAATTCATGGCTGACACCAAAATCTCAGGCCCAATTGTTCAGTTGAATATGTGGGGGAAAAAAAAGTTTATGAGAGGTTAGGCAAAAACTATTTTTTCAGTTCTTTTAAATATTGTTTGTCAAGTACAATACAATCTAAGTTTGAGAAGAAGATATTGAATAAACACCATTATTTGAAGAAGAGGAATTCCTCACTTGTGGTATGTCTATGCAAATAACAAGCAAACTTGAGGATGATATATCCAAAGATGTGAAAACTTTGTTCAATGTAAGTGTAAAACTAATTGTTTGACACAGTTCCATGCTAAACATATTCAAAGGCACATATTGTTTCTCAGAGAAATGGAAAAAGATTAAAAGGACATGTTTGTTATGGGAAGTAGGAAAGGTAAATGTAAAAGAGTAAGATTTGATGAAATTTCTAGACTTACAGAGTCAAAGCAAGGAAAAATGCTTAAAGGGTACAAAACTTCTGCCCCAGAAACTGTTGATGCTTCAGGTTAGTTTGAGTATAAGGGCTATGTGAGTATAGAGAGAGGTTTCAGTGTGCAGAATTTGATAAAAACTAAATTGAGAAACAGGCTTGACACAAAGTCATTGTATTTGTTAATGAAGCTTCAGATTGATGGTGGCCCTCAAAAGTCATTTGATTTTTCAGCATCATATTCTAAATGGAAGAACATGAAATCTAGGAGAATATGTGGTTATTAAGAATCATGTTCATTTGTTTAAAACATGATGAATCAGGAGCCACACTTCATTCAGATATTTCATCCCTGAATTATGCTGAATGCCTCTTTTGGAGAGTTGATGTGTGTAAATTTGCCTATTTTTATTGTTACACACTTGCCAAAGAATACTACTGTTAATGTAAAGCAAGGAAAGAGACTAAAAGACTGTATTACATAGTATGTTTTTTATATGAAAACTTTAGTTTGATATAGTGTGATGAGGATTGACTTAAAGTAAGACATTTTATAATAAAAAAGCTTAGTTTTTTTGAGCATTTGATTTAGATTATGATAAATGAGTTGTTATTTGTTGATATGATGTATGTAGATTTTGGGGAAAAAAAAGGCAGAAAAATATTTGATTTGTCCTTCTTAAATGCTTAAATTCAATAAATTATTTATACACTGTTATAACAGTTGAGGCTGTAGATGCCTTGTAAATTGGGTATTTAAATATGAGAACTTGAAAAATTTTCGACATCCGGGACGGACGTCCCTCCCAGACCCTCCCCCGAGTGGAAAAAAAAAATTGGTCAGTGGAAACCCTGGGCGGTGTAATATATAAATGAACTATTTGTAGTATATATCTGAGACAATGTAATATATACATGTACGATATGTATGATAGGGTCGTGTGTAAGTTATGTAATTTGTATTTTGATAGCATATCTTATATTTTTGATAAATGAATATGGATGAATTGAATTGATAATATATATTTTCTTTTCATTTATGTATTTTCATATATTTTCAGAACCATAAATATTATAGTTCCTATAGAATGTCATTTTGATGTACAAAACCTAGAATAAATGTTTGATTGAAGCAGAGTGTTATTTGTATGCTAAACCGTATAGACCAGTCCTGCCACATTCAAACTATAGGAATTACAGGAGTTCTATGAAGAATTTGTGAATTTGACATAGTCAATGGGACATTAGAAGAGGGGATACATGTTACAGAGGACGACTTAAATGTAGAGTAGGGAGACTATGATGACAATCGACAATGGTGTGTCCAAGAGTTTGTAAGCAAGGCTTAACCAACAGGTCACGCCAAAAAGATCAGATAAACTAATTTTGTGAGAACTTTTTAGGGTATATCTCAAATGTGTTACTTCACTGATTGAAATTGATCAACATTTAACTTTTATGATAAGCAAAAAGTTTATTAAATGTTTTAGTAAGAGTTTCTTAATATTCTTAATATTTAAAATTGTAGAGCATCTGGAGGAGTGTTTTCCATCACTTAAACAATCAACACTCATGGATACTAGGGCTGTAACGGTTTACCGGTACACCGATATATTGCGGTGCAGGATAAATAAATATTGTACTGCAGTGCACATTTAGTTGAACCGGTTTTATTTAGTAATAACAGTGTTCCATAATTTCCTCTATAAATAAAAGAAAGTCTTCCATAATTTTCTTGATAAATAAATGTTATGAAAATGTCCTATGCACAAAAGAAAAGGTTTATTCTATATGACATCCCTTTCCTGGAGGAGGCGGAGTTTCGAGGTCACATGCTGATGACATCACAGGAAAACAAGATGGAGGCTTCCAGAACGGAGGCGCGGGAAATTGACCAGAAAAAATATCATTTTTCTGGTTCAAACTTCCTTAAAAAATTGGAAGACATCATTTTTCAACATGAAAAACAAACCAACTCTCTTTTCGTGAAAGTAAAGACTACAAATAAGCTTAATTTACCTGGTATGTTCATTCAATTGTCAATTTTGTGAGAAATTATTACTGAAAAGCGAAGGGAATAAATGTGCAGAAAGTATTACTGGACACACAGGGACCCCTCATCATGGTTCATGACTATTCCCACTATATTGAGAACTTTCCGTCATTGTTATTCAGGAGAAATACAAAGAAACAAACATTAGTATGTAAGCGCTTTCTAATACATTTGTAATAAAAGTTTCATCTCAATCCAGAGGAAGCTAGATTATAACAAAGTATTTTTGATAATGATAACTTATAACACAGAACTTTGTCTAACAAAATCTCTTTTATTAAAGGTGAAGTTATTTCAGATAGATCTATCCGATACCTTTACATTATATAAATGTTGGAACATCATCTCATTCTGTTAAATTATTTAGAAAAAAAAAAAAATATTAAACAGAGTATTATCTGAAGATGGAATAATTATTAAACCTGGAATACACTTAAAAAATCATTTTCCTGAGAATTTAGTTCATCTAAGGAAGGGGGGGGGGGGGTGGGGGGGGGAGGGGGGTTAGTGGTTGCGGCACATCAACTTAGGGGGGGTTAGTTCATCTAATGTGGGGTTAGATGATGCCTGGCATCAACCCCTTTTTTTTCTATGTTTCAGGGTTAGTTGATGCGGTGCAACTAACCCCATGGTGCTTTATAAAACAGCATTGAAGAGTATTAACTGGTTTAAAATAGGCCTTTTAACAAGGATTTTTTGAAAGATGGATCAACTTTACCTGATGCACTAGAATGAACACCTTTATAATCTTATCAATTATTATTAAGCTATTTAGGAATATCTGTCCAACTTCCTTTCAAGGAAATTGTATTCCTGACTAGTTTGGGTATTTATCTTAATGCAAATATAGCAAATTCAATCAAATAAAATTTTCCTTTATCATGAAACTAACATCAATATCATAGCGATCAAAAAATTGGCTCTGCTACAATAAATAAACACTCTGCATTTTGTTTGCAAAGAATGCATTTCAGTGATTTAATTTTACTGTTTACACCTTGACAATATCTGCTGCAAATTTGGCAATATATTAGAGAGAATAAAGTAATAAATAAACTTTTTTGTATACATCAAGTTTGACTGATTCCAGAAGAATAACATAAATGCTTACTGGACCATAATGGATTATATCTGTGTTCTTACAGGACAGTTCAATACACATGTGAATGACTTAAATCTAGCACCTACTGACATGTTAAGTAGAAGCATTTCAGATCAGTGGGTGCTAGATATTAAGAACAACATAAGGATGGCACCAGGAATGTTAATTACAAGAGTTCCAGTCAATTTGAAACTAAATGAGGTAATCTTTTTACAAGTCATAATTCATGTTAATGACATTTATGACAAGAAGAGGAAAGATTAATTCTTCCAATCACAGCAGCCGAGTGACGTAATATTTCAAAATGAAACTTCTTGGTTTATTTGTATAGATAAACGACACTCTAATCACAGGAACAGTATTGTCTTTAAGTAATATTGTGGAGCCGAGAAAGGAGCTGACTGACTACAAAGTTGGCGATTTGGTTTCTGTGCGTTTTTCAAAATTTGGAATTCCGAAAAGGAATTATTGGGACGATTGGCGGTAAGCTGTTATTTTCATCATTTATATTTATATAATATCAACACTGATCAATGCCCTATCTATGTCCTAATAACCAAAGCCCTAACTTACAAATCATAATTATATTGCCGTAGGAAATGTTAAGCTATAATGTCATGCGTTTTCACGTCTTTTATCTCAATTTTAACATGGACAGATCGGCCCCTTTATTAGTAGTTATAAAAAGGTCAAATCGGCTCTTAACAGTTGTGAAAATATATCTTGATATGTTTCAACTGTAGCTGAATTAGATCCATGTAAATGTTCTACATGTTACGGATTTTTAAAAAGTAAACTCGATTACATAACATAATCCTTTAAGTAATATTAAATATTTACCTAAATTTTAATTGTGAATTATCTAAAATATTAATAGTGTGGATATTGTCACAAAATTGTAGCATGCCCCTATCAAATACTTTGGATAATAGAATAATATCATCATAATATAATTATATTTTCTTAGAATGATGAAAGCATGAAGAAAGGGATGCAGGCTATAATTGATGATCATAAATCATTTATGAAGATAATAGAGGAAGTAAGTCTTAATCTGAGGTTTGAAATTAAACTTGAATTTAGCATTCAATTTAGATTTAACACAAGCTAGCTGAGCAGTGAATTTGTAAGCTCTTTTTGGGAAAACATACTGAGAAAAGATTGTGGATGAATGTTGCAATTTAGCAATCTTTTAAAAGGAATACTTCTGTATTTTGATTTTACATAAGTTAAATTTAATTAACTTGACTTAATGCTCAGACCTTTCAAAAATAGTAATAATAACTTTATTTACAGAACACAATAATAATGATATGATTTAGATGTATTTCTCTAAAGTAAATTATGACAACATAGGCACTATTTGCATACAACATTCAAGTGTCCTTGACTACATGCTGAAGTGCCCAGTTAAAAGTTAATTGTCTGTATAAAGATTATATTTCTTATTTAAGACTTGTCCAGAGATAAATGGTCAGGAAACAGAAAAACAAAGCAAGGAACTTAGTACCAACATCCAGGAGTTTAGGAAAGTCCGGAATTGCCCAAGGAAAGTGGCAAAAGGAAAGAGTAAGTTTTAATTGGTTTCTATTTTTACAATAGAAGATTATGCATCATTTAAAAACTTAACATAAATTTTGGTAAAGATGGTAATAAAATGTATATACATGTAGATAAATATTTGCAGAAAATGTGACAATAAATTTGTTGCTTAAATGTTCTTTGCAACTAAATGGAAGAATTTGAATGTTACAATAAATGGTTTTCATTAAAAAGGTTTCTTTAAAATCAATTGGTTTTATATTTAAGGTGAACATTTTTGGATTAATCACATAATTATATCAAAAAGTTTTATTACAGAATTCAGTTTTTGTGGCCCCCTTTCAAAGAAACAAGTATACAAGGGGATCTTGGTTAACTTTAAACACACTAAATACACCGCGGGGGCCTGATTTTAGGTTCAACCAATCACCCAGTTTGTCTTACAAAACAAATTCAAATCTACTTTGATTTTGAAGTTTAAGCTATCAAATCATGTTCTTAAGATTTGATAGAAGTATATGAATACTTTTTTTATTTATTTCATTTTTGCTTTTCAGAATACCAGTTTCAAAAGTAAAGGAACCCAAAAAGAAGCCGGTAACAGAAAAGCAGGCAAAAGTGAGTTGATTGAATGATATATGTTTGTGAAGAATTATTTCTAAAGAATTATGAGATAATGACATTTTAATTCAGGCATTCTGATCTTTTCAACTTGCAACCATGTTAAAATAGATAAATAATTATTTAAAACAAATAGTTATGTAACAATACTATAGGTTCGTCATAATGGAATGTTAAAAGTTGAAAATATACATGGTCATGGATATAAAACAAATAAAAACATTATCATCAATTCTTTTGGGCTTATTGTGACCTAAATAATGTGAAGATATCCCCAAGAATTTTGTTAGGGTTTTTTTTATTGAGTATAATGAAAATCTCAAATATGAGAGTATTAAAGGAAGATGACTAGAACTATCACTAAATGTGATTAATACCCCCACAAGACTGCTTCCGAAATGAGGATGTTACTAGTAACAGAATACTGAAATATAGAGTAATGGTTGTTGGCAATTAAAGATAGTTGTGGTTCTTATATGTTGCATTTCCTTTCAATGTGGTTGGCCATTGATGAAGTTTAATTGAATTACTCTGTAATAAGTCCAGAAAGACAAAGAAAAGGAACAAAAGGGCAATAACTCTATAAATACTGAAGATAGAGTTATAGTTCTTGTAAACTGCACTTCATCTTATTGTGCTTGCCCTTTATATGAAGTTGTTTTGAATTCCAACCAGTACGTTTTAAGTTATGCTCCTGACAAGGAAAAGTATCAAAGGGCAGTAACTCTGTAGTTTGTCAAAATGGAGTTATGGCTTTTGTGTACTGCACTTCCTTTTCATGTCCTTGACAACTGTATGAAGTTGTATTGAATTCCAAACAGTAGTTTTCTAGTTATGCTCAATACAAGGAAAAGTAACAAAGGGCAATAACTCTGTAATTAGTCAAGATGGAGTTATGGATCTTGTGCACTGCACTTCCTCTCAATGTGCTTGAACATTGTATGAAGTTATATTGAATTCCAACCATTAGTCTTCATGTTATGGTCCGGACAAAAAAGGCAATGGAAAAGCAACAAAGGGCAATAACTCTGTAATTACTTTAGATAGAGTTCTGGTTCTTGTGCACTGCACATCCTCTTATTGTGTTTGACAATTGTATGAAGTTGTTTTGAATTCCAACCAGTAGTTTTGAAGTTATGCCACGGACAAGGAAAAGTAACAAAGGACAATAACTCTGTAATTATTCAAGATAGAGTTATGGTTCTTGTGCACTGCACTTCCTCTCAATGGCTTGACCATTGTATGCAGTTATATTGAATTCCAACCATTAGTCTTCATGTTATGGTCCGGACAAAAAAGGCAATGGAAAAGCAACAAAGGGCAATAACTCTGTAATTACTTTAGATAGAGTTCTGGTTCTTGTGCACTGCACTTCCCCTTATTGTGTTTGACAATTGTATGAAGTTGTTTTGAATTCCAACCAGTAGTTTTCAAGTTATGCCACGGACAAGGAAAAGTAACAAAGGACAATAACTCTGTAATTAGTCAAGATAGAGTAATGGTTCTTATGCACTGCACTTCCTCTCAATGTGCTTGACCATTGTATGCAGTTATATTGAATTCTAGCCATTAGTCTTCAAGTTATGGTCCAGACAAAAAAATCAATGGAAAAGTAACAAAGGGCAATAACTTTGTAATTACTTTAGATAGAGTTCTGGTTCTTGTGCACTGCACTTCCCCTTATTGTGTTTGACAATTGTATAAAGTTGTTTTGAATTCCAACCAGTTGTTTTCAGGTTATGACCCGGACAAGGAAAAGTAACAAAGGGCAATAACTCTGTAATTAGTCAAGATAGAGTTATGGTTCTTATGCACTGCACTTCCTCTCAATGTGCTTGACCATTGTATGTAGTTATATAGAATTCAAACTATAAGTCTTCAAGTTATGGTCCGGACAAAAAAAAGCAATGGAAAAGCAACAAAGGGCAATAACTCTGTAATTACTTTAGATAGAGTTATGGTTCTTGTGCACTGCACTTCCCCTTATTGTGTTTGAAAATTGTATGAAGTTGTTTTGAATTCCGACCAGTAGTTTTCAAGTTATGCCCCGGACAAGGAAAAGTAACAAAGGGCAATAACTCTGTAATTAGTCAAGATAGAGTTATGGTTCTTGTGCACTGCACTTCCTCTCAATGTGCTTGACCATTGCATGTAGTAATATTGAATTCCAACCATAAGTCTTCAAGTTATGCTCCGGACAAGGAAAATGCAACGGACGTCTGGACCGACTGACCGCCCGACCAACCGACCGACCACCTGGTGACTCCTATTTCCCCCCCCCCAAACTTCGTTTTTGGGGGTATAATTATTTGTATTATTATTTATGTTCTAGAAAATAAAAAGACCCAAGATTCTCAACAAAAACAGTTAGAATATGAAAAGGCTAAATCAGGTACTTTATATAAAATACTAGAACTATCACTAAATGTGATTAATACCCCCACAAGACTGCTTCGGAAATGAGGATGTTACTAGTAACAGAATACCTTGTAAAAGAATTAAAATATAGAGTTATGGTCTTGGGCAATTAAATATAGTTGTGGTTCTTATATGTTGCATTTCCTTTCAATGTGGTTGGCCATTGATGAAGTTTAATTGAATTACTCTGTAATAAGTCCAGAAAGACAAAGAAAAGGAACAAAGGGCAATAACTCTGTAATTAGTCAAGATAGAGTTATGGTTCTTGTGCACTGCACTTCCTCTCAATGTGCTTGACCATTGTATGTAGTTATATTGAATTCCAACCATTAGTCTTCAAGTTATGCTCCGGACAAGGAAAATGCAACGGACGTCTGGACCGACCAACCGACTGCCCGACCAAATGACAGACCACCGGGTGACTCCTATATACCCCCCCAAACTTCCTTTTTTGGGGGTATAATTATTTGTATTATTATTTATGTTGTAGAAAATAAAAAGACCCAAGATTCTCAACAAAAACAGTTAAAATATGAAAAGGCTAAATCAGGTTCTTTATATAGAATACTAGAACTATCACAAAATGTGATTAATACCCCCACAAGACTGCTTCGGAAATGAGGATGTCACTAGTAACAGAAATACCTTGTAAAAGAATTAAAATATAGAGTTATGGTTGTGGGCAATTAAATATAGTTGTGGTTCTTATATGTTGCATTTCCTTTCAATGTGGTTGGCCATTGATGAAGTTTAATTGAATTACTCTGTAATAAGTCCAGAAAGACAAAGAAAAGGAACAAATAACTCTATAAATACTGAAGATAGAGTTATAGTTCTTGTGCACTGCACTTCCTTTTATTGTGCTTGACCATTGTATGAAGTTGTTTTGAATTCCAACCAGTACGTTTTAAGGTATGCTCCTGACAAGGAAAAGTATCAAAGGGCAGTAACTCTGTATTTTGTCAAAATGGAGTTATGGCTCTTGTGCACTGCACTTCCATTTAATGTTCTTGACAACTGTATGAAGTTGTATTGAATTCCAAACAGTAGTTTTCAAGTTATGCTCTGGACAAGGAAAAGTAACAAAGGGCAATAACTCTGTAATTAGTCAAGATGGAGTTATGGTTTTTGTGCACTGCACTTTCTCTCAATGTGCTTGACCATTGTATGAAGTTATATTGAATTCCAACCATTAGTCTTCAAGTTATTCTCTCAGTGCTCCGGAATAAGATAAATGCAACGGACGTCTGACGACCGACCCGACCCGACCAACCGACCGACCACCGGGTGATTCCTATATACCCCCCCAAACTTCGTTTTTTGGGGTATAATTATTTGTATTATTATTTATGATGTAGAAAATAAAAAGACCCAAGATTCTCAACAAAAACAGTTAGAATATGAAAAGGCTAAATCAGGTACTTTATATAGAATACTAGAACTATCACTAAATGTGATTAATACCCCCACAAGACTGCTTCGGAAATGAGGATGTCACTAGTAACAGAAATACCTTGTAAAAGAATTAAAATATAGAGTTATGGTCTTGGGCAATTAAATATAGTTGTGGTTCTTATATGTTGCATTTCCTTTCAATGTGGTTGGCCATTGATGAAGTTTAATTGAATTACTCTGTAATAAGTCCAGAAAGACAAAGAAAAGGAACAAAGGGCAATAACTCTGTAATTAGTCAAGATAGAGTTATGGTTCTTGTGCACTGCACTTCCTCTCAATGTGCTTGACCATTGTATGTAGTTATATTGAATTCCAACCATTAGTCTTCAAGTTATGCTCCGGACAAGGAAAATGCAACGGACGTCTGGACCGACCAACCGACTGCCCGACCAAATGACAGACCACCGGGTGACTCCTATATACCCCCCCAAACTTCGTTTTTTGGGGGTATAATTATTTGTATTATTATTTATGTTGTAGAAAATAAAAAGACCCAAGATTCTCAACAAAAACAGTTAAAATATGAAAAGGCTAAATCAGGTTCTTTATATAGAATACTAGAACTATCACAAAATGTGATTAATACCCCCACAAGACTGCTTCGGAAATGAGGATGTCACTAGTAACAGAAATACCTTGTAAAAGAATTAAAATATAGAGTTATGGTTGTGGGCAATTAAAGATAGTTGTGGTTCTTATATGTTGCATTTCCTTTCAATGTGGTTGGCCATTGATGAAGTTTAATTGAATTACTCTGTAATAAGTCCAGAAAGACAAAGAAAAGGAACAAATAACTCTATAAATACTGAAGATAGAGTTATAGTTCTTGTGCACTGCACTTCCTTTTATTGTGCTTGACCATTGTATGAAGTTGTTTTGAATTCCAACCAGTACGTTTTAAGGTATGCTCCTGACAAGGAAAAGTATCAAAGGGCAGTAACTCTGTATTTTGTCAAAATGGAGTTATGGCTCTTGTGCACTGCACTTCCATTTAATGTTCTTGACAACTGTATGAAGTTGTATTGAATTCCAAACAGTAGTTTTCAAGTTATGCTCTGGACAAGGAAAAGTAACAAAGGGCAGTAACTCTGTATTTTGTCAAAATGGAGTTATGGCTCTTGTACACTGCACTTCCATTTAATGTTCTTGACAACTGTATGAAGTTGTATTGAATTCCAAACAGTAGTTTTCAAGTTATGCTCTGGACAAGGAAAAGTAACAAAGGGCAATAACTCTGTAATTAGTCAAGATGGAGTTATGGTTTTTGTGCACTGCACTTTCTCTCAATGTGCTTGACCATTGTATGAAGTTATATTGAATTCCAACCATTAGTCTTCAAGTTATGCTCCGGACAAGGAAAATGCAACGGACGTCTGGACCGACCGACCGCCCGACCAACCGACCGACCACCGGGTGATTCCTATATACCCCCCCAAACTTCGTTTTTTGGGGTATAATTATTTGTATTATTATTTATGATGTAGAAAATAAAAAGACCCAAGATTCTCAACAAAAACAGTTAGAATATGAAAAGGCTAAATCAGGTACTTTATATAGAATACTAGAACTATCACTAAATGTGATTAATACCCCCACAAGACTGCTTCGGAAATGAGGATGTAACTGAGTAACAGAATACCTTGTAAAAGAATTAACATATAGAGTTATGGTTGTGGGCAATTAAAGATAGTTGTGGTTCTTATATGTTGCATTTCCTTTCAATGTGGTTGGCCATTGATGAAGTTTAATTGAATTACTCTGTAATAAGTCCAGAAAGACAAAGAAAAGGAACAAAGGGCAATAACTCTATAAATACTGAAGTTAGAGTTATAGTTCTTGTGCACTGCACTTCCTCTTATTATGCTTGACCATTGTATGAAGTTGTTTTGAATTCCAACCAGTACGTTTTAAGTTATGCTCCTGACAAGGAAAAGTATCAAAGGGCAGTAACTCTGTATTTTGTCAAAATGGAGTTATGGCTCTTGTGCACTGCACTTCCATTTAATGTTCTTGACAACTGTATGAAGTTGTATTGAATTCGAAACAGTAGTTTTCAAGTTATGCTCTAGACAAGGAAAAGTAACAAAGGGCAAAAACTCTGTAATTAGTCAAGATGGAGTTATGGTTTTTGTGCACTGCACTTTCTCTCAATGTGCTTGACCATTGTATTAAGTTATATTGAATTCCAACCATTAGTCTTCAAGTTATGGTCCGGACAAAAAAGGCAATGGAAAAGCAACAAAGGGCAATAACTCTGTAATTACTTTAGATAGAGTTCTGGTTCTTGTGCACTGCACTTCCCCTTATTGTGTTTGACAATTGTATGAAGTTGTTTTGAATTCCGACCAGTAGTTTTCAAGTTATGCCCCAGACAAGGAAAAGTAACAAAGGGCAATAACTCTGTAATTAGTCAAGATAGAGTTATGGTTCTTGTGCACTGCACTTCCTCTCAATGTGCTTGACCATTGTATGTAGTTATATTGAATTCCAACCATTAGTCTTCAAGTTATGCTCCGGACAAGGAAAATGCAACGGACGTCTGGACCGACCGACCGACTGCCCGACCGACCACCAGGTCACTCTTATATACCCCCCCAAACTTCGTTTTTGGGGGTATAAAAACAGCAACTGTATTAGCTTACATCATACTTTTTATCCCACAGATCAATTTGGAGAAGGCTGCAGAGGCCCAGTGTATGTTTGAGGTGGAGGTGGAGACTAAAAGGAATCAAGAAACATATAAAGATTAAGTGGAATCAATGTATTGTTTTGTATGTTAAACTTGCTCAAATTGCACTATTATGATGATTGATCTAAAGAATACCCTGATTTTTCCATATATTTTAAGAAGGAAAGGTCCATTGCATAATTATAGTCTTAAAATAGCATAATTTTCCAAGTACATCAATTTTCTTGTATTTTTGTGCAAGTCAAAAGAATTGTTCATTGTTGCATTTTGAAAACAAAAGTCTACACTAGTTTTACTTAGTTTCATTTAATTATTTTTAGTTTTGATGATGCAACTCCGTGTTGACATCTGCATTAAATGTATTAAATGCAGATGATGCAATAAGTGAAGATAATTCTCCACAACCAGTATATCATACCAATTGACCAAACCAGAGTCCAACATCTGGAAGGGAAAGTGAACTGGCTGGAGATGCAGCTTAACCAGGCTTGGGGCTGCATATATGAATTGCAAAGAAATGTGCAATGGTTGAGTCAATCTTGCAATCACGTAAATATCACATCCTATTAATTTTTCTGATAAAAGTACAATTTCAAAATGAGATTAAAAGTCTTAGACTCATATTTTATAGGACTCAGTATAACAGTTAATTTACACACAAGTTCTAGGATACAGTTTTAATCCAAAACAAATTCTGCAAATGGCTACAACTTTTTAATTCCGATTTCATTGTACTTAAGTGGTCATAACTTGGAGGTAATATCAGGACACAGTAATCCATACTAGACTGTATGCCTCTGTCAGTACACTTTTGTGATCAATAGCAATCTTTAAGTTATTTTTTGTAATGCTGAGCAGAGATAATAAACATACTTTTTAAGGTATGTTTTCTCTAATGGGGACTAATAAGAAACTGAAAAGTAGGTCAGTTGTATACTTATATGCTGTTCGAACCCACACAGCTAGTGATCCTTAGATTAATAACTAGTCCCATATGTTAACCATGCCGCCTTTGAATTTGTTTCATATTTAATAATTTTTTTATCATAATATTATGAGTATGAAAATGATATTTCAGAACCAAGCAGTTGCAGGTCAATCAACTCAGGAAAATGAAGACGTGGATGTTGTAAAGGTAATAAAGCTTTAACTATTGTGGCTTTTCTTTAAAATTTAGGTGCCTGCAAAATTGTTATTCAAATTAATATTTTTTTATTTTATAGCATTTATAATATATTAATAATATTAAGTAGCATATAGTTAAATGGATCATGATACCAATCTCTAAGTATAGTTTGCACTTTCCCCAAGTTCTCATCACAGCATTAATTGTTAAATGTAATATGGTGTGATTTTTTCCAATTCTGTTTAAAATATTTCAATAATTTCCCATTTCTACATGTGTTATTTTAGGTTAATCCAGAGAGCACAGAAGCCAGCAGTCAGGAAGAAATCTCTACAGTTGATCATCCTTCAGACACTTTATATAACAATTATACAAAGGTACTTATGCTTCTGGTGAGCTAAAAATGTAACTGGAAATAAGTCTTTCAAAAGGTATAATTATAATTCTATATTTGGTATTTTTTAAATTTGTTTTTCAATTTAAAGATATGTAGCAATGGACACATCCACAGAAATTGGTGTTCACAGTCACAGATGAACAAAAGACTTCATAGTGGAGATTTCCTTACATATGCCAGTATCTTGACTTCTGGAAATAATCATGGCAAACTGGCTCTATGGGCCAAGATGCTAGGTTTAAAATTTCCTTCTGCAGACCAGTTTCATGGAATCCAAGCAACATACATGGTACCAACACAACAGTTGATAATTACTGGAAAGACCATCAGAAGTCAGTCATTGAATCTTTCAGGGGAAAGCCAGTTGTTGTTATGGGTGTGTGTCTTTAATTACTCATGTCTTGAAATGTATTCTGCATACATTTTTTTCCCAACATGTAGCCAAACAAATATTCATGATAATGAGATATTAAATTTACCACATAGCCCCTTTTGTGAGCGAGCTTACTAATCAGTGCAAGGCTTAACAGCAGCCAAAGTCAGTCTAAGAATTTTCACAGTTAAAACTTGAGTGATATTTTGTTTTTACAAGGATAAATAAGGTTTTTAATTGGAAAATATTTTTACTTGGAACATTAAATCTATCACTGGTAATTTATGATTTCATAACTTTTTTTCAGAATTCAGTACATAACCATTAATTATAAGAATCCTTTGTTCTGTCTAACATCTGTACTTTTAGACAAGATGTCTACTCATTTCCGTAAAGGAAACGTTGCAAACTGACAAAAGGTTTGCGAATGAAACAGTGTCGTACAAACTTGAGATAGCATAACCTTTTACAGAGGTAAAAATTTTCTATGAAGTAGTTATTCTCTTACGGAGATCTTATAATTTAAAAAATAAACCCGAACCTCTTACAGAGGAACAAATATAGATACAAATATTATCTTTTTTGAAAATCCATAGATTTATTTACATTAAATCATGCTACATAAAAATATTTTTTTCGCTTGATCATTAAAAATAGAAGCAACCATAACGCTGACCCCAATACGCGGGTCATATTCGTAACAGTGATATATGTATCGTGTCAAACGATAAAACATTTATTAATTCACCATTTACTGCTATAAAAATTTGTAAATAATTTTTCAATTATGGACACCCTGAAAGTAAGAATTTATTTATCCATGATGTTTTAAAAAATAGCGCTCAAATAAATGGAATTTTAAGAGACTCCCGATTTCTGTTTACAGTGTAAAAATGGAAACACTCGTGGGCGGAAGTGAGACAGAAGCTGCGCGCGAGGAGGGAGGCACCTCACCGGATAAAATAAGTGAATTTGTCAGTAAAGGGGAAAGATTTTCGTAACCATGACAAATATGCTGCAAGAAATGTCACATCATGGTATAAAGTTATCTGCAGTTGCTGAAACGGTAGAAAAACTTCAGGCTGATATAAAATCAATAAAGAGAAAATATGCATCAAACAATGTGGGTACTTCGAAAAAACGAAAAACAATAAACCATGAAACCTCCAGCAGTGACACATCTTCGGACAACGATGACGACGAAAATACAAATGATACCAATAATGCAGCAGACGTAGCTGCTTTATCTTCTGACAGACAGTCTGAAACTGATGAGGAAGAAGAAAATGATGATTATCTGCAAGATCTAGATAATAAATTTAAAGGAAAAATTGAAACGGGGGAGAAAGTGTCAGAAAAGATTGCTGGATTTACAAACAGAGGGCTTCGAGCAGATCCCCAAGAACAAATAATGAAGCAACTAAGGGAAAAACACAAAATACCAAAAACTTTGCCCCTTTTTTTCTCAAATGACCCCCTTTTGAAAAGTTTATGGGCCCGAAGGGCCCCTGGAAATTTGTTCTAGATTGAACACTGTTTTTTACAAGAAGATTTTATAAGATTTTTGTTCTTCATGGACCAACACATGGACGACGGACAATTGGCCATCACAAAAGCTCACCTTGAGGACATTGTCTTTGATAAAAACACTAAAATTTGTATTGTTACAATTTCTTTCTATTCTGTTAAAGAAATTGATATGATTTTTATGCAAAGTAATATGAAATTTATTTGCTTAGGAAGATTAAGTGCTTTACAGTAATTGGCCTCTCACTTCACAGTAAATGGCCTCTGAATCATTTTATCTACTTTTGTATCTAATCTCTTTCGGTATCAAGGAGGCTGCCGTCTGCCGTCTCTATTGTTTGTCCGGCAGTCCGGCAGGGCTCTCATATATAAGGGCTGAACAGAGCAAAAGGGGGGGTTAGTTAGAGTTGGTCAGGAGTTAGTCGGAGTGAGCCAGAGAATTTGGTAAAAGATTGAGTATGAGTTTTTAGGAAATTTTGTGTAAATGGAAATATGAATGTTTGTGAAAATAAAATTATAGTAGAAGACTTTGTCCTTCTGTTGTGTTTTATCAACTCGGCTTCAAGTAAATGAGGAACTTATTTAACATGATATTTGCAACAAGGTCTAGCCTTTGATTGCTACCATCAAAGGGGCAATTTTGTTACAGTATTGTAAATACTTAAAATACCGGTAAATATATATATATAGAGAAAACTAGAAATATCAGGACAAGTAACTGTCTAGTTATCGCAACAATAAACCCATTTAATAAAGCATCCAAAGCTACAATAGCTAGATGGGTTTAAAGTGTTCTCAAAGCATCTGGTATAGACAGTAATTTTAAGCCACATAGCATAAGATCAGCATCTACTTCAAAAGCAAAGAAAGAGGGAGTGAAACTCAATCACTTATTAAAATGCTGAAGGTTGGACAAATGCAAAAATTCTATAAAAGAGATATTGTAGAAATACCATCTGAAAAGTTTCAAAATGCTATTGTAACAGATGTATAAAGTTTGCTTATTAAAAAACTACAGTACAATTGCTGTTGATTGTAAATGCAAATTTGCAGAAATTGCTCTAAAATCTTGTGTGGGGCTCTTAAGGGTGTTATGCAGGAGATTAAATTAATTAACAAAGACTTACCTTTGTAGATGGGAAGTTGAAGGTTGATTGGATTTCATCTACTGCAAACTCCTTAAGAGCTCAACACGTCCTTCCCTACCCCACCCAAACTATATTTATATTCCTTCAAATTTGCTAAGTGAAAGGTTTTTTTGGAACTACTAATAGAAGTTTTCAACTTCGAAAAGACAGTAAAGACAGTAAAGGAAAGGAAGGATAGTAACAAGCACTTAGTACAGGCATCTCCTTTTATATGTATGCAACAAACACAACAACAACAGCATACAGTACATAAGTACAACCACCATACTCAGGTCTTGCAGGAGTAAGTTAAACATTATCTGTATATATAGCTTAACATCATGTTATTATATGTATTACAGATGAAGGAGTATACATGCCTTTTGTGTGGGCTGGAGGGTATGTACGAAGTAGTGTACTGCCACATATACTGTTACAGTATACATACTAGGGAAAGACCACCTCATCTATGTTCATGCAGCTATGCAGCAGTATCAGAAACGAAACTCATCAAGCACCTCAAGAAGAGAAACATCTGCAAAAGGGCTGGCACTGGCAAGACTACAGTCCCTGTTGAAAAGGTTATACAGAAAGCGCCAAGGGTGAAAGATGTCAGTACAATGACAGAAACCACACAAGGAAGCCTAGAAGAGAGGTACATGTATATTGCACTGTTGAACCAGCTTCTTGTACCAGCTCTGGGTGTTCACACTCACCAAGCCATCTCTTTCTACGACTACTTAGAAAGTAAAGCAAAGGAAGAAGGGGGAAGCCATGGATCTGAGACCTCCCACCACCAATCAGAGTTCCAGCTGAACCATTACCATCAGCAATTCATTTTTGGAATTGAGCAGCCGAAGATTCTATCTCAAAGTACATTGAGCGTCTTTGTGTTTAAGGCAAACATCACCTTCCTTTCAGTTGTACAGTTACAGTCCTTTTTTGACATGTCAATTTCAAAATACTTTTTAATACTTAAAGAAAGCAACATTACTATAGTGATACACACCATGTCATTTATTTAATAAGTAAATATCAAAAACTATATACTATATATATTTGTTAAGGCAATGATTTTTGTTAGTAAAAAAATTATGTATGTGTGATTATTTATTGACTTTTTTTGTCAACTTAATAGTTTTTCTGAGATTAAGAGTTTTCTATAGGATTTAAGATCCTCTGAGAAACAAGACCATCCAATTAATTTGTTTATCAGTACTGGATCCTAACATAGCCAGACACAAAAAAGCATTCAAGTACCTGGCAAGTTTTCTTCCAAATGTCAACACTGTATAAGAGACTGGTCATCTTGACATGGAGTTGAATGCTTTTAATGTTGATCAACAAGTCAGTGACCTTAGAGGCAGATATGATGAAAAGAGAGTGGATTCGGGTTTTTGGTGCCATGTTGGAAAATTTAAAACATCTGACAATCCAAGGTACCCTGTATTGAACCACCTTGTTTGTGCAATCTTAACAGCATTCAGTGGCCGTTTAATTGAAGGCACCTTCAATATAATGGGGGACATCACTGAGGATGAAAGATCAACGACAGAAGAATAATGAGGTTGTTGCATTAATAAAAACTGCTTTAAAAAGAAAGAATCTGAAAGTTACACCAGCAATGAAAAAATGTGTAAAAAGCGCCTACAAAAATTATCGAAAACATCTAATCAACAAGAAAGAACAAGCTGTGAGAAAAAAGCAGGAAAAATTGAATTATTCTATTTAAAAATTGAAGTTGGAAAAGGCTAAGTGCCAAGCTCAGTTGGCAAAATTGAAAAAGTAAGTATTGAGCAAAAAATCCAAATATGGTGGTGAATAAAGAAAAATTACATACACTAGTGCATCAGCAAGTGGAAGACAATGGAAAAAGATTAAATCTCATTAAAACAAGAGCTGTCGGAAGGACAGCACGCTCGACTATTCTAAGTGCTTGATAGTAAAAGAGCCTTGATAATGTTAAGTTTTTTAAGTTCACAAAAGGGCTATTTTTTTTTATAAATTCAAGTTATAGGCCTTGGAGAGAGTCTAATTATACAGTATTGGCTTGACTATTCGGAAGGTAATGTCACAAGGGTGTTTTATTGAGTATAATAATACTAATTACCTATGAATACATAAATTTGACAGAAAAGGTACAAAGGCTTGTTATTAAGATGTTTTATTAAGTAAATCACAGCTTTATTATTATTAATGCTTAAATTGTCCCAAAAAAGGCACAAACCCTTCAGTAGTTATTGAGATAACAGCTTACAAGCAAAACTTTACCATGAATTTCTAAGTTAAAAAAGGGGAGAAAAATCAGCCTAAATGCAAGATAGAATTATGGATCTTTGTCAGTGAACTACAATTATGACTCTAAATGCATATGTGAAGTTTTAAATAAATATCTTTAATAGTTATTGAGATATGTAAACTTGCATGTAAACATTAACCAAGAGACTAAGTAGAAAAGGGGATATGAATCAGCCTTAATGCAAGATAGAGTTATGGAACTTGGTCAGTGACATACAATTATGACCCTCCAATTATGACCCTACGTGCATGTGTAAAGTTTCAAGTAAATATCTTTGAAGACCTTTAACCAAAATTTCTAAGTTCCAAAGGGGCATAATTCTGTCAATATTGTAGGCAGAGTTATCCAACTTGTCAATCTGATGTACCTTGTTACTATAAATAAGTATTGTAAGTTTCAATTGAATATCTCAAGCAATAATTGAGATATTTGACTTTACAAAAAACTTAAACCAAAATTTTTAAGTTAAAAAGGGGCATAATTCTGTCAATATTGTAGGCAGAGTTATCCAACTTGTCAATCTGATGTACCTTGTTACTATAAATAAGTATTGTAAGTTTCAATTGAATATCTCAAGCAATAATTGAGATATTTGACTTTACAAAAAACTTAAACCAAAATTTGTAAGTTAAAAAGGGGCATAATTCTGTCAATATTGTAGGTAGAGTTATCCAACTTGTCAATCTGATGTACCTTGTTACTATAAATAAGTATTGTAAGTTTCAATTGAATATCTCAAGCAATAATTGAGATATTTGACTTTACAAAAAACTTTAACCAAAATTTCTAAGTTAAAAAGGGGCATAATTCTGTCAATATTGTAGGCAGAGTTATCCAACTTGTCAATCTGATGTACCTTGTTACTATAAATAACTATTGTAAGTTTCAATTGAATATCACAAGTAATAATTGAGATATTTGACTTTACAAAAAACTTTAACCAACGCAGACGCCGACGCGGACGCGGACGCCGACGCCGGGGCGACTACAATAGCTCTCATATTCTTCGAATAGTCGAGCTAAAAACCAAATAGTGTCTGGCTTAGGACATTAACTGTTAATTGAAATGAGTAGATATTGCTTAAATACTATTGCTCAGTGAATTTGTGTGAATTTCAAAATAATTATATTTGAAGATAAATTAAGCAATTGGGTATATCTTTCAGTTTTTTTGGAGCTTCTTAAATCACTAAACTGCAAGTCTTAGAGTTTGGGGGGAACTCTGGCCTCCTAGACCCCTAGCCTTTAAGTGGCCCCCAACTATTTTTTCATTATTTTCGATTTCTGTACCTTTACCCCTGCATTTACACTATAGTAACCGAGTATGCCTTATGTTGCAACAAAAATTAACACTATAGTAACAGTGTTATTGTGCTGTATATTATTACATGTGCAATATTTCCTCCACTGACTATTTTCTTCTTAAATAATAAAATTTTCAAATTACTCTGGAATGACAAACAGACAGATATTGGTTAAAACAAACTAAATATATTTTATATAGGAAATAATTTTTTTATTAATTGTTGATTGTTCATACACAAATATGGACCATTTGGGATGACATACATCCTTGTACTGTTTATAAAATTCATCTCCTGCATAACTCCTTAATGGACCCCACAGATACGACGCAGCTAGTAGCAAGGCTTATCAGTACGAGGCTTTAACTTATCAGTCGTATTCATTGATGATTAACAAAATATTGATTTACTTCAAAGACAATTCTACTTAAAATCAAAATTAACACTTAAACATTTTTGTGAATATATACGGACATTAATTGAAAGGCAAGTCATCATTCAGTCAAAATTGGCTGCTTCCAACAAAGAAGTTGAGAACATGCTTCTCGAACGCCGAACTAAAAAGTCACCTTTTGATGAGTCTTTAAATCAGCATGTCAAAGTCCCTCAGATAACAATTGACACTTTGGAACCACCAGCTGCTGAAGATCCTCCTGCAGCACAAAAGCAAACAAGTGAAACTGATGAAAGTTTCCAAAATATGGCAACTACCCAACAAAGCACAACATCACAACTGGCTTATCAGTACGAGGCTTTTGCTTTAACTTATCAGTCGTATTCATCGATGATTAACAAAATATTGATTTATTCAAAGACAATTCTACTTATAATCAAAATTAACACTTAAAGATTTTTGTGAATATATACAGACATTAATACCACTAACAAGTACCACTAACAAAGCTTTCCGAGTTTCTGACAAAAAAGATGCGGAAAAAATCAAGGAATTCAAGGAAAAATACAAACGACCCAAAAACATAAAAAACCTTCATGTTCCTGCAGCAGAGGAGGTCATCTGAAGACAACTTCAACCAAATTCAAAATAGGCAGATTTTTTCGGAAAATATGAACTGACGCTTACACCATTCCTTAGAGCACTGGACCTCTTGAAGACAAAGGGTAGCCAGGAAGACATAAGTTGTCTGATGGATACATTCAAAATTCTTTGTCTGACGTTCAAGGCAACAAATACTTCTCAAGCAGAACGCATTGGCCGAGATATTCAGCCACAATTTAAGGCTATATGCGATATTGAACCTTCAGCAAAAAAATCTGTCAGTCTTCAGATAAGGACCTTGAATAGTACGAGTACACAGAACATATGCAGTCTTCTGGTCTAACCTACCCTATAAAAGGAGGGCCACATGTTTGAAGTACACCATTGATAAATAGGTATTTCATACACTCTGTGCCCTGAACAAGTTGAAACATTGCATGAATAATTTGAAGGCATTAACACTATAGCAGTTTTACCTACTGGATACGGGAAAAGTATAATTTTTCAACTTCTGCCATTCATAAAGCAGAAGAAATTGGGAACAGGGGAACCTCTAATTACTATCGTTGTTGCGCCACTTAATTCCATCAAGGAAGATCAGGTATTTGTCATTTATACAAATGTTTTCGTTAAGCTTTGTCCTTTTAAAGAGTTTTTTAATTTTTGGGATGTTCCAAAACTGAAAACTGAACGTTCGTCTCAACTTCCATTTGAGCCCAAAATTATGGTGACAGAGCATTTCATCTCATTCCTGCTCTTTTCGGCTAATGTTTTTATGTGTGGTACTATAAAGATTAGTTGGTATGTGTGCCATATGGTGTAATTGTATGAGTGGTCAAATGATTGGAATATCTTCAGTGGTCTTAATAACCGCTTGAAGACAAGGGTGGCAAATCAGTGTGCAATCAAGCTGTAACATCATCAAGTCAATTCATGCTTAAATCCCTTACACTACATCAAATAATCAATTTTCAGCTAAAAAAAAAATTGTTCACTTCTAAGGGTTTTTTTAATTTCGACATTAGATAATCATTTATTTGAAGAATAAATAGCTTTATGAATACCATAGTGTATGTCACTTGCAGTCAGGCATCCCAGTAGGGATAATTTCCTCCAGTTCATACCAAATATTAGTCGAACCCGGTTATTACCACAGAACTAGAAGCAAGGTAAACTTCATGTGTTATTTACAACTGGAGAGGAACTGTACATGTCGTGAAGGACGATATACAATATAAGATTGATATAGTGATAGCCCATAAAATGCCTGCCAATATTCTGTTGCTCGGAGATTCACATATGAATCATTTCAGACACTATTTACAGCGAAAACATCGTCAATTGGATCAAGCTTTCAGGCTGAATGAAAATCAGCAAGTCGTTTTTTTGGATATAGTGGAGGATAGAGGAAGACTGTCCAACACGTTTATGATGAATTTGTTTCATACAAAAATGAGGATTTTGCGGCCTAACTACCTAATCCTTTGATTGGGTGGCAATGACCTGGATAGTGCTGGTGATGTTACCACAGAGGAAGTGGCCCAACACCTTATTGCAACTGCCACTCTCTTCCAAGGTAGATACAATCTACAACATGTGTTTATAATGCAGCTAGTTCAAAGATGGTGTACACGAAATGTGAACCCTTCACTTTACAATGCAAAAGTAAAGGAAGTCAATAAATTAGTTCAAGAAAACACTAGAAATCTTCATAATGTATCTTATTGGAAAATGCGACATTATGCTACACTACGTCTAGACCTTCTGAAACCTGATGGTGTTCATCTTACTGATGATGGGATGAATTACATTTATCACAATGTTAGAGGGGTCATCATTGAAAATTATTTAAATAAATTTATTTGCCATAGATAGTCTAATTTGGAACAAGATATGTTTGTAAAACATGTATGCCCCCTATCAGCAGCCAATTAGTCATGTGATAAGGTTATTATGCATGACTTCTGACCCAGTGATCAAACAATTAATAAGGGTTATAAAGTATCTACTGGTCATGACCTTGACCTTTGACCTCTTGACCCAAAACTCAATAGGGGTCATCTGCTGGTCACGACCAATCATCATACAAAGTTTGAAGTTCCTAGGCCTAGGCGTTTTTGTGTAAATTGATCAGAAACTGTTTTTACCTAACAAGGTCAATGTGACCTTGACCTTTGACCCCTTGACCCCAAAATCAATAGGGTGTCATCTGCTGGTCATGACCAATCACCATGCCTAGGTTGAAGTTCCTAGGCCTAAGGGTTCTCTTATTATTGATCGGAAACCGTTTTAACATACAAGGTCAATGTGACCTTGACCTTTGACCACAAAAAATCAATAGGGGTCATCTGCTGGTCATGACCAATCACCATGCCAAGTTTGAAGTTCCTAGGCCGAAGCGTTCTTTAGTTATTGATCAGAAACCATTTTTACTTACAAGGTCATTGTGACCTTGACCTTTGACCCCTTTAATCCCAAAATCAATAGAGTAATCTGCTGGTCATGACAAATCACCCATACCAAGTTTGAAGTTCCTAGGCCTAAGTGTTCTTGAGTTATTGATCCAGAAACCGTTTTTACTTAAAAGGTCAATGTGACCTTGACCTTTGACCTCTTTCACCTAAAACTCAATAGGGGTCATCTGCTGGTCATGACCAATCATCACACAAAGGTTGAAGTTCCTAGGCCTAAGCGTTTTTTTTAATTGATCGGAAAAACCGTTTTTACCTACAAGGTCAATGTGACCTTGACCTTTTGACCCTTGACCCCAAAATCAATAGGTCATCTGCTGGTCATAACCAATCACCATACCAAATTTGAAGTTCCTAAGCATAAGGGTTCTTTTAGTTATTGATCGAAAAGCATTTTTTACCTTACAAGGTCAAAATGTGACCTTTGTGACCTTTTTTAACCCCTTAACCCAAAATCAATAGGGGTCATCTACTGATCATGACCAATCACCATACCAAGTTTGAAGTTCCTAGGCCTTAAGGTTCTTTAGTTATTTGATCGGAAACCGTTTTTTTGCTTACAAGGTCAATGTGACCTTGACCTTTGACCCCTTGACCCCAAAATCAAATAGGGGTCATCTACTGATCATGACCAATCACCATCTCAAAGTTTGAAGTCCCTAGGCCTGAAGGGGTTCTTTCATTATTGATCGGAAACCGTTTTTTACCTACAAGGTCAATGTGACCTTGACCTTTGACCCCTTTAACCCAAATATCAATAGGCGGTCATCTGATTGGTCATAACCAATCACTTACCAAGTTTGAAGTTCCTAGGCCTTAAGGTTCTTTAGTTATTGATCGGAAAAACCGTTTTTACCTACAAGGTCAATGTGACCTTGACCTTTGACCCCATTGACCCCCAAAATCAATAGGGGTCATCTACTGATCATGACCAATCACCCATACCAAGTTTTTGAAGTTCCTAGGCCTTAAGGTTCTTTGTTATTGATCGGAAACCGTTTTTGCTTTCAAACGGTCAATGTCACCTTGACCTTTGACCCCTTGACCCCAAAATCAATAGGGGTCATCTACTGATCATGACCAATCACCATTACCAAGTTTGAAGTTCCTAGGCTGTTAAGGTTCTTTAGTTATTGGATCGGAAAACCGTTTTTGCTTACAAGGTCAATGTGACCTTGACCTTTGACCCCTTGACCCCAAATCAATAGGGGTCATCTACTGCTCATGACCAATCACCATACCAAGTTTGAAGTTCCAGGCCTTAAGGTTTTTAGTTATTGATCGGAAACCGTTTTTTTGACTTTTCAAGGTCAATGTGACCTTGACCTTTGACCCCTTGACCCAAAATCAATAGGGGTCATTCTACTGGTCATGACCAATCACCATACCAAGTTTTGAAGTTCCTATGCCTTAAGGTTCTTGAGTTATTGATCGGAAATGGTTTTTGCTTTCAAGGTCAATGTGACCTTGACCTTTGACCCCTTGACCCCAAAATCAATAGGGGTCATCTACTGGTCATGACCAATCACCATACCAAGTTTGAAGTTCCTAGGCCTAAGGGTTCTTTAGTTATCACTCGGAAACCATTTGGTCTACGGACCGACGGACCGACAAGTGCAAAGCAATATACCCCCTTTTCTTCGAAATGGGGGCATAATAAGTATTCCTTATCATATACATACACATGTAAATATATTATAGTATAAAACATTGTATTATGCATTGAGCATTCTTATTCAGATGAGCAAATGAAAATCAATGAGTAAATACCGATCTACACCTCCGAAGGCACAGAAGTCTACAGCAGAATTAGACGAATAAAATTACCGGCTGTGACACAGTCAAGTATTATCCACTTTAAAAGAAATGGGACTTCTTGAAGGGAAAGGAAACAATCACAAATACCACACAATCGACAGATAAATCCACCAGCAACAGCCCTGTCAATTCTCAAAAGGCAGGCACATCACAATATGGAATTCAGCAGTTCCTTCATCTGTCCAGATATCCATTCCAGACTAAACTCAACAAGCGGGAAAAGGTATTTCAGTTTGAGGGGATCAGTATTTGCCTCTATCAAGTTTGATAGCCTCTAAAGAGTCAGGAACTTTGACTTTCAAACATCACCCAGATTGGACAATCAGTCAAGATAAAAAGGACATTGAAGAAATCAAGACTATGGAAGCATGGCACAATGCTTACCCAATTTTTGTTTCAGTGTTCTTAGAAAAATCACCAGAGTTGGGTCCTGCACTGATGAAACATTCATCAACGGTACAGAATTTGGCGAAACTAGCCGGAACATATGCAGCAATAAAATACGACACTCAGTTCCGGAAACTTCGTGAGGAATGCCCAACAACAACACCTTGGGACATGCCTAACATGGAGTTGTACAACAAAGCCATCACAGACGGGTTAAGCTTCCAGCAAAAATTCAGGCCAGGACAAAGGGGTCAAACAAACAACCTTTTTCGTGGGAAACGCACACAAACCTGTAACCTGTATAATGAGGGAATTTGCTACAGAAACAACTGCCGGTTTCAACACATATGCATATGAAGATTTCTCACCCTCCTACCCAAGTTTTAGTATAATTTTGCCTTTTACAATGTTAAATTGTTATGCCAATCTGCAAGGTAAATTCATTATTGGTTGATTGTTTAGATTAGTTTTCATAAATTTGTTTCATTGATACTATATTTAACATGCATAAAATTGTTGGCAGTTCTTTCCCCCAACTTTGTCTTTCAAGGAAATCATTTTGATAGTTGAATTCTTTCTAGTCACATTGTATTTGTTTTATGCAATATTATATTTTCACGTTTATCCGTCATTTCATCATTAAAAATGACAATTTTTCAAATCAACTAACTTTTTTGTTTCTTTTCCCTCAAGTTCAAATATAAAAGTTTGGAGCTTTCAAAGGTGGATTCGATCATCACATAAGCACTGTTTCCGCAAAAACGTTAACAAATTGCCGAGGGAAAACATTAGCCAAAAAAACGTTAAAAAGCACTTAATGGACACTTTTTTGAGCACAAATTAAACAATAGACTGTAAAACAATAAACTGGCCAGCGGGCACTACAACCATTAACATCATCACCATACACGACACCACTACGACACCACTTACGCTCCAAGAAACATCTCACTGCGACGGCATATACTAATTTTAGTTGAAATCAACAAGGAGCGTGAGAAGGAGGATATTTCGATTAAGGTACGGTGAAATTGAAGGGTAAAGTGACTAAGTATGGAGTGGATGGGCATAGGCTGACAGCCTTCTTGAAGACGATACTGACAAAAAAATTGACTTCATAAGTTGGAAAGACATGGTCAACTATGTAGATGCCAACTTCCAGCAAGGCAGACATATATTTGTGAGAAATATTAAGAATTAAACGCTGCTCCAAAAAATGTACACTAAGACAGGCAAAAGATGTCCAGCTTCTGTTTACAAACAATACAACTGTCAGTCGGAGTGAAATGGGCCCACTACATCGATCAACCAAAAAAACAAGCGTCTCTTTTCTTAAATCTAATGATGTATTTACATGACCATGATCAACAAGTTTTCTAGACCCTAGTCTAAGGGTAAACCTATTGTAAAAAATAATACTATGACCACAGCAGATTTCGTACAGAAAAGAACCTTTTATAAATCAATATACTAGTATATTACTAGCTTTTTATGAATTAGGCGGCTGGTCCGCAGTGAATAATTTTTAATTACAATGAAAAGTACAGGGTGGCCACATAAATGAGATATGGCCATCCCGTCATCATTTAGGGGACCTCTTGGGGTGTCCTTGGCAATGCCTTGGAAACGAGAGGGCCACTGATGTAAACAAGGCAGTAGCCAGGAACGCGGGGGTCCTAAAAGGGCTAAATGGTAAATCACAAGTTTAAAAATTGGGACCCTTTCCCAGTGAAATCAATTTGAAGATCAAACATGCGCTTAAAGGTAACACCCCTCGCGTCGGGTAACATTTTCCTAGAATTTGCGTCTTCGGAAGCACTCAACCAAAGCACTTTATCTACCCAAGTTTAAGCTTGGGGGAGTGGAGTGCATCGTAAAAGGACTGCCTCAGGAACGCCTTTATGAGATACACGGTATTCCGCTGGAGGAAGATCTGTCAGAATTCCAACACAAGGCAAATGTACCTGTGAAGTTCTTTGAAGGGGGCATAATAAATCTATAAATAAATATTTTTGCATTTATTGCATAAAAGTTAATTTTATAAATTATTGATATATTACAAGTAAAAACAATTAAAATTATCGCCACCAACAGCTAAAATTGTGTTTAAAATTGTAAAACGTAAAACACTTTTGGTTATGTTCTTTTATTATAAGATATTTGTTTTTTGCTGCAATGTCTTAGGAATGTTTGTAGGTGAAGCAGAAGAGAAGGGATATGGAGGCTGGTACAAAAACTCTCAAACAAACAAAGACAAATTTACAAAACAATTAAACTTGGACAACACTGCTTTTACTATGATTTTTGTAGCTGTTATTTGGAAACATCTCCATATTTGACAGCTGCCTGATGAAAATATGCAAAAATAGTCAGAGATGTTGCTTAGCAAACCCATCAACCTGGACTGGCAAAACTTATGACAACAAGTTCTGCTTACTGATAATCCCAGATGGGCATGCCTTTGATACAATGCATTATTGAATTGTGGTTAAAGGCTTGCACCAATCCAACTCCTTATGTGCAAACAAAATCCCCGGCCCTTTCGTTCAGAGCAATTCCCATCAAAATAAAAATAAAATCTGTAACAAATCAAAACTGTCCCAGTCCCTGTCAAAAGATTTGGCCAAGTGTATGCTTGCCATTCAATAGATAAGAATGCAGGTCATCCCAACTTCAAAATTACCCCATTTTGTGAATCTGTAAAGGTACCCACTATGCCGGTTTTCCCTACCCACATATGTCGAACAATTACCATAATCTTGTTCATGTTACACTTATGGCTTTATAAAGCCCAAATAACAATCTGATAATATGCTCCATACTAGCTTCAAATGAGTTTTTAGTGATTGTCACAGTTAATATAAAACTGTGCACATGGTCCAAATTTCATAGCTGTACATTAAAGGACAAGAAATTAAGTCATTTCATCATTATCTGGGTCAGCTGATAATCAGTTCAAAAGTAGGTCACTTTATCAAAATCTAGGTCAGCTGACATTAAAGTTTAATTTAACATCTTAAACTGTGCTCATTGCTATAGGATAAAATAACAGAATTTTATTAATTTGACCCTGACAGTCAAGGACAATGGACGGACGACGGACGAAAAGCGATTACTAAAGCTCACTCTGTCACTTTGACACTTGAGCTAAAAAGTTGCATCAGCTGACCCTGAGGTCTCTAGTTATAATGTTGGCATTATTGCATTACACTTCAACAGCAACAAAAGAAAAAATATAAATAAAGTTGGAGCCATTTTATGTATTGTTTGCATTTTATATGTGTATGAAGATGACATTGATATTTCCCATGACGATATGCATCGTATTCGTCAGAAATAAAGGTTTTTTTAGACCGCTTCTAGGTTGCATGTTTTCTAGTGGTTTTTCTTGAGCAACAAAAAAAGGCAATTTTAATGAACTGAATTCCTAGACGATACTTTAAAATTGGTAAGATAAAAGGGGCCAATCTTATTTATATGTCTTTAGGGCAATTTACGACTTAAAACGCTTATATGTACATCTTAGGTGGCCATACCACTGCCACTAATTTGTATCGTGTAAATTATTAATGTTTGTAAAAAAATTTCTAGCAGAACAATTCAGCAAAGTACATGTAATAATGTTTTCACTGTTAATCTGCATCAGTGCATGTTTTGAGTAGTATAATTTGTTGTTCCCACAGGCACATGAACTTCATGCATGCGGGCTAGAATCTACAAACACAAGGCTAATTAACTTAAGGACCTTTTCGGGAGTTTTCATTAAGACATAGGCAAAACTAAAACTGTTCAATAGAATTTCTTTAAACTTGGCATGTTGTTAGAATATGATAACAGAAACATTTTAAGCGAAAAAAAATTGAGATCACCATGCAAATTTTTGAGTTATGCAGCAAGGAAGGAGTTCAAGGAATGGGGATTTCGATGATGTGGCAAATAGCTGTAAGGAAAGCATTAGAATGGCTGATTGTGAAAAGCGGGGACCCAAAGGCTTTGGACCTTCACAACATTTTTATAGGCTGTCAAATGAATGACAAAGCTGACAAATTAATGATAAAGCTGACTAATTAATAACAAGGCTGACAAATGTATAACAAGGTTGACAAATTAATGTCAATGCTGACAAATTAATGACAAAGCTGACTAATTAATAACAAGGCTGATAAATGAATTAAAAGACTGACAAATCAATGTCTGGGCTGACAAATGACAAGGCTGACAAACAACACCATATCAATATTCCTCCACTATTAGTGGTGGAGAAAAAAAAATTAACTAATCATCTACCTTAAACCTAAATAACCTGCACTAATTAACCAAGGATCCCTTATAAAACCTGTCTCGTTTTCTTCACATTTCTTCAATAAGTTTCTTCCGTCTCGGCTTCACATTTCCACCCCATTGCTCTTCTAATTCTCTCTTAGACTGGTTCACAGATTCAAGTTCGACTGACAACAATGAATTAACAATCTGTAACTCTGGAATCATTCCATGAAGAGCCATCCCAGAAGTCTGTGTCCAGCTCAAATAAAATTCACATTTCTTGAGAACTTGAAAATAAGTTGATTTCAATCTATTCAGTGTTTCCTTTAACGACGTTTTCCCTCCTACCTTTGCCTTTTTACACACACTTTTATATGCCTTCTTAAAAATTTGACATATTTCTGATAAAGCTGCCATCAAATATTTCAATGGTTCATTTTCCCCAATACCAGTTATGATGAGTTCAATATCCTTTAATATTGATATATTAAACTCTGGACTTTGAGTCAAACTTTGTTGTTTATTTACAAGCTTTCTCATGCAGAATTGCACAGCTTCATCAACTGACCCACATGTGTGACCTTCACCTAAAACATCAGACAATTTCCAAGATGTCTGCTGCACACTCTGTTTGCCATGGTAACCTGCTCTCCATTATGGAGTCTGCACACATAGCAATACACAAACAACACATTAATTACATTGTACTTCACATCTGCTGAGGGTTTGGATTTTAATATGTTTGAAATATTTGGAATTTCTTGACAAAATATTTGGCACAGCACTGAGTGCCCTTGACTTTGCACTTGATGAACTTCCTTCAGAGAGCTTCAGTAACTAAAGAGGCTGTTGCTATCCACCAGGGTGTCCAAATCTCTACAAGATTTCCAAGGCGACCATCTCCCACCATAATATCAAATTCTTTCTTTTCCTACACAAAAAGATAGGTAGCTATTAATATCAGAGTTTAAACTAGCCATTTATAATTTATATTATGATTTAAAGAACTGATATATAAAACAACATAAAATAACAGGTACATGTATCTTCAATAAGGGTTTATCAAAAAAGATAAAGATATCCTAAATGTCATTTTCATTTTTTCTACATGCATAAAAGTGTCTATGAAAATCAAATCAATTTTAATTTAC